CTTGAGAATTTAAACTATCCACACTCTTCTAGTTTGTTGAAAAAGCTAAAATATGATCAGCTTAACCAAGATTTGGGCCCCATATTTGCTGGTTAAATATTAAGCAGGGTGGAGGTGGGGGGGGGGGAGAATCGAATTTTAAGAATAACCATAGATAGCCTCCTCTTGGGACCCTCCTGACAGGAGCCAATAAGAGAGACTTCTAAGTATTTAAATAGTGATGTTAACTTAAAAGTGCATGATTTATATTGGCTCTAGGAAGAGTGGAAAACCACATGACAAAATTTGTCTTATCTGAATAGATGTGCAGCAAGTAAACTTACTAGGAAGACAGTTACTGATAAAATTAAAGAGAAAGGAGCTTAAAGAAATGTGCGACCAGCTTATGTCAATGAAATATAAAAAAGTACTTATAAAAAGGACAAAATCAGCAATTTACTAGAAATGACCAGCTGGTATCTTGGTTTTGATAGTGCTATAGCACCATTACAGCAAGGGTAAGCAGGTTAATCCCTTGCAAAACTTACCTTGATTGGCCCAATGGAAACAGAAGGCCCCAGAAAAGAGAGAAGCATCTGGCAGTAGCAAATTGTTTTATTTTATCTTTCTGTGGAAAGAAACTAATTTTAAATAAGAACCAGAGCATTTAAAGGATAAATATTTTTAAAGCTCATTATCTAGTTAGAGCAGCTCTACCAGGAAAACAAGAGCTCCTTTGCTTAGAGATGGAAAGAAACAAAAGAGGAATTGGAGTTGTTGCTCCATCATCAAGAGAATTTTAAAACTTGTTATTCTACAATCACAGAATACAACAGTTTTTATTTTAAGCACATCTGCAAGCAGAATCTTTTGGGCCTGTGTCTTTCAACGAAGATTTTTATACAAAACTAAGGGGTATGAAACCCAAACCAAATCCACTGCCATGAAGTTGACTCGCTGGCTGACTCATAGCAACCCTAAAGGACAGAGTAGAACTGCTCCATAGGATATCAGAGGCAATTAAGTCTTTATGGGAACAATGCTTCATCTTTCTCCCAAGGAGCAATTGATGTGTTTGAACCAGAGACCTTGGACTAACAGCCCAGCCCTTAACCCACTTGCCCCAGAGTTATACTCCAAATAAAAGAAAACCTCTTGACAATAAGGCTTTCTATTCTTAGGCTTAAGCAGAAAGAGGAGAAACAGAGTAAGCTCCTTTAAGCCCCATGGTTTAAATCATTATCAAAGAAAACAGTACTAATGAGCAAAGAGCCTATCTCATTGACTGACTTTTCTAAATATTTTGCTAGTCTAAACTTATGATTATCAAGACACTCAAGTAGAAATAACCTAGCCATTTAAAGGAACTGTGTATTGTACAACTTAATACAGAAGACATAAGATTATGCATGTTAAGTGAACTTCTTCAGTTTATTGAATGTTGCCCTAGGAGTTCAATTCTATCAATCACTGAGACAGTATTAAAACTTTCTGATCCAAATCACTCCCACAAGAGGTATATTTATAACTTACAACAGATAGAGGGTCAGTTCTAAATGCATTAAGAAGCAATATGCATTTTGTTTAAACAGAAAATTAACTATCTATTTGACACTGTCCTAAGAATAATCAGATTTATTGATTAGAAACCTTACCAACCCCATCCCTAAAATACACATCAAAGAGGAAGAAATTTCAGGAATATTAAATTCATTCTTTTCCAATGATTTGGACAATTCCTATTTGTAGATTCTATGCATTTATTCTTTACGGTTCACCAGCATGAGTTATGTTGACCCATCCACTTCCAGTGACAACCCAAAAAACAAAACCCACTGCAGTTGAGTTGATTCTGATACAGAGAACCCTATGTTATTGTAAAGTGCCATCGAGTCGGTTCCTACTCATACCGACCCTCTATAGGGTTTCCAAGGAGTGGATGGTGTGTTTGAACAGCCGACCTTGCAGTTAGCAGTCCAGTGCTTATCCTACAGAGCCACACCAAGACTCCAGCCCTATATGACAGAGTAAAACTGCTCCATAGGGCTCCCGAGGCTATATATCTTTACAGAATCAGACTGCCTCATCTTTCTGCTAAAGAGTGGCTGGCAGATTCAAACCACTGACCCAGGTTAACACACTTCGTCAACTGGTATCCTTTTTTTTTTTTTTAAAAAAAAGCCACTGTAAGAAAAACCCTAGGTTTACCTTGTTACTTTTAATTTACAGAAACTCTTCCTTTTGTTGAAACAGAAAGTAAAATTCATGCTTAAGACTTTTCCAACTCATTCATTTGGTCACAGTCATGATTCAACATTTGCTATATATGAAAACATTATTTCAGCATTAACTAATCCTTAAACTACAAGGATTTACTCAGACTTCAAAATCTTGGCACAACACCAGGAGACAAAAACAACAATAAAACAAAAATTTAAAAGCATCCTTACTTGTCCCATTGGTGGCCCTCCCATAGGGGGCATCATTTGGGGCATCATTCCATGAGGTACAGGTGGCATATTTGCTCTCTGACCCATAGGGTGCATTCCCATGGGAGCATAATGCATGCCAGGGTGACCCATCTGAAAAATAGTGAAAATTAAACATTAGCAAGTAACAGACGAGCATTTCAAAATCTCAACAAATAGGTTAGCTGCAGTGATGTAGCATCAATGGGTGATTAAAATTTGGAAAATCAGCTTACACCCACGTCTCCCAAATTAAAAAAATAAACACTAGTGTCTGTAATAAGCTTACAACTGACCAAATCCATGAAAATGAGCAAAGTTAAAAGTATCATTGTACAGAGCTGTTTAAAAAAACTAAAATAGTGACTTAATCAGTTACCGGCTAAACTACGAGGAAATGTAATAACCAGTTTAAAAACTGTTATGGTGAAAGCCATAACTTTGTCCTATTACACAGATATAATACAGATAACCGTCTACTGGTATTTTATAATGCTTATTCCGAAATTTCGTTTCTACAAAGACTTTCAAACGCTATATTTACCAAGGAAAAATAGACAAACAGTATGAGTATGCAGATACGCTTCACTCTCAACAAATAGACGTTATTATTTCCTACCACAACCTTTAAGGCAGGTAAAATTCCCGGTGAAGAGGGGCCCCGAGGTTAGAATTCACCGACTGAGGCCGTGTCCCTCATAGACACGAAATGCAACCGATAATTCGTGCCCCACTTTAACGCTTCTTTTTAAAAAAGGACAGCTAATTTCTTCACCTGTGTCCATTGTTCTGGGCCTTAAAACGAGGTCATTATCTTCTGCCAATCTCCCCCTGCGGACACCACCACTATTTGTGTTGTAAATTTTGGCAGCCTCATTTAAGTCCAGAAAACCAAGTTTCCGCCTCCCTCTTCCTGCCAAATCGGGCCTACCTCCCCTAGACGCTCACCCCGCCCAGGGACCCGCATCTCCACCCCGCCTCTGCCTAGGCCAAGCCCACCGGGAACTTCCAGGGTCTCACAGCCTCCCCTTTGTGCGTCCCCACCACCCTCCATTTTTCTCCCTAGGAACAACTCCCACCATCTCGAGCTCTTCTTTCATCCACTCTTATCTTCTTCTCCGCTTGGAGAAAGCTTCCTGTCTGACTCCGTTTTTCATTGTGCCGCTTTCCCCGGCCCCACCGATCCCTTACCGAGGGCCGTCTCCTCAGGAAGCCGTCAGTAGAGACCCAGGAGCTGGAGCAGAGGCTTGAGTCGGGCAATGTCCGCTCCCCGTTCCCGGGACCCCGCATAGGAGGATGGTTCTCCATTTCACTCACCATGAGGCCTCCACGCTCGGCTCCCGTCCCCGGCCTCATCGTCGGGCTCAGACTGCTCCGCCGGCGGCCACTGCCGCTACACATACCAACAAGGAGCGATCTGAGTGGCTGGCGCCCGCCGGGGCTAAAGGTTAAAGGCTGCGCAGTGCTACGGGGCGGGATCAGCGGGGCCAACAAGCTGACAGGCTTCCCCGCAGTCCAATCAGAGGGTGCCGTCGGCACACAGCTCTGCGGCGATTCGCCGCCAGCCTCACTCGGCTTCGCCTGCATGGGGGGCGGGGGGAGAAGGGACGAAGGAAGTTTCTGCGCCGAGTCCTCTGCCGGGGAAAGTCTACCAACTTTCCCCAGGAAAGAGAAGCTAACAGTATCCCCGCATACCTGGCTTAGACTGCCTCACCCCACAGGGGGTGAGGCAGCGGAGGGCCTGCCGTGTTCACCGCCCCCACCCACTATGTACGCCCCACAAACCTGAGGCGGCTAGGGTGGGGTGGGGGTGGGGTAGGCAGCGTCTAGCGTTAGCGGTGGCTGGGGCTAGAGAGCGCGCGCACAGAGCTCGAGGGAGGGGAGGGGAAAGGAGGGGGCGGGGAAGACGGGAGGAGGGGTCTAGAGGAAAACGGTTCGAGGTTCCTAAACCCGAGGTGGAGAGCACAGCTAGGACGGAGCAGGGGCGGATGGAGGGAATTGATATGACCCTCGAGAAAAAGATGTGAAAGGGGGTTAGGAGTGGACAGTTAAGGCAAGACTAGCGAGCCCACCGGTAAGCAGGTATTACGGGGGTATGCAGGGAAGAGGTTGCGCAAACAGCGGAAGACGGGAGAAAGAAAATCGGAATGTGTGTCGGAGCGGCATGGGCGGGCGCTAGGACCGGGCATAGGGAAGATGCCGCATTAGGACTACGGGACTCTCTCCTGCCTAGCAGTGACGCGGTGTGGCGGAGGGCTCTAGCCGGAACAAATCGCTGCAGGGGGCAGACACTCAGTTACCTTTGGTCTCTACTCGCATCTAACTGCGCATTTCCCTACCCTCCCTCCTGATTCGGTGCCCCAGAGTCGCGCTTTGTTCCCGGGGTGCTTGGTCTCCCCGGGGGCCCAGCAGCTCGCTTCCCGCCCTCTGCGGTCTCCTACGCACCCCTGCGTACTAGGGCTGGGTGGTGGAGACCGCGCTGGGGCCAGGGCGCTGATTGGCTGCTGTGGGTCCGGAGTGTCGGAGCCGCTCGTTGCCAGCCTCACCGTCTTTCCCGCCATGTCGTTTGTGGAGACTGGGAGCCGCACGGCTCTGCTGCGCCGCCGCCTTGGTACTCCGGCCCCACTCACTCGGCCGGTGTATTCTGCCTTCTCTCAGGGGGACAGTTGGGGTGAAGGTGAGATCGACGAAGAGGGATGCGACCAAGTGGCCCGCGACCTGCGAGCGGAATTCTCCGCTGGGGCATCGTCGGAGCTCAAAAAGGGCTCCGTACATCCGCTGGATGGGGACGGGTCGCCGGTTCTGCCTGATAAGCGCAATGGCATCTTTCCGGCGACTGCGAGCGGCCGTTCCCCGCCGCGGCGGTGGCCAGTCCAGGTCCTCTCTGTGCTCTGTTCGCTGCTATTCGCCGCCCTTCTTGCCTTCCTCCTTGCCATCGCCTATCTGATCGTAAAAGGTACTGAAGCCCGGCCCTTAAAAGTGCGTCCAAGCAGTTGGTCCTGGACGCCTCCATCTCGTCCCTCCTTTATTCACCCGCGAGCAGGCAGCGCCTTTCACTCAGAGTCGTCTTTTGCGCCTTTTTTGAGTTTATCCCCCTTTCTGCCTTCTGTTTAACATTTTGGAAGGCCCTGACCCGTGATCTGGAAACCCTTTTTTAAAAAAATTCATCTGGATTGCAGATAACCCTTGATGATTTGTGGTGAAATATTGACAAAATTAATGAAAATGCACAGCCTCGTCATTAAAAGACGTGAAAAGTGGGTGTAATTAAAATAGACCTTATAGAATCCTTGTGGGTCAGAACTGACTCTATGGCACTTAACGGCAAGCAATACATGTTGAAGGGCTGTGATCCACCGATTCTTACGTTCACGCACAATTCTGGAGGACAAAGAGTTCTATCCGACAGCCCAGTTTTGTACTTGGATAGGTAAAATCATTAGGCACTTTCAGTTTTATGTTAGGTTTATAACTAGTAAATGAAAGTTTTACTGCAGCAGCCATAGGGTTTGGGGGATGAAAGTAGATGTGCCTTGAAAGGTTTTGCAGATTGAGATGGAAGTATTATTTCATTGGGTTCTTTCTGCATGTTAAAATGCAAAGAATCATACCTGAATTTAAATATCAATTCTGACTACTGAGTATGATCTCGGCCAAGTTGTTAGTTGAGTCGATTTTGACTCAGGAAACTGTGGGGCCCTGAGCAATCCTCACATTGTTAAACTTGAGCCCATTACTGTTGTTACTGTGCCAATCCTTCTCGTTGGGTGGGGGGTATCTTCCTCTTTTTTGCTGACCCTTCACTTTATCTAGCATGATGTCCTTCTCCAGGGACTGGCCTCACTTGATAATATGTCTGAAGTATGAGAGACAAAAGTCTGGTTAGTCTGGCTTCCAAGGAGCATTTTGTGGTTTTACTTCAAGTTGGTGTTGTTAAGTGCCGTACAGTCAATTATGACCCATAGCAACCCTTTGTAGAGTTTCTGAGGAACAACTGATGCGTGAGCTTGAACTGCCCATCTTACAGTTATTGGAGGAGGCAAAGAAATCCAAAAGAACTACTTTAGGTTATATCTAGAAAACATACAACATATCATGAAAACAACAGTTTTACTTCACTAAGCCAAGCCCTTTACCCTCAGGTTGATTCAATTCCAACTCTTACCAACTCTGTAGGTAAAAGTGGAGACCTGGTGTGGTGCTGAGGGATAAACATTGGACCTTAAGGTCAGCTGTTCAAACTACCAACTGCTCCATGGAAATGCTGTACTGGGTCCATTGTGAGAATCAACTCTAGGGCACTTAACAGAACAAAGTAGAACTACCCTCCTAGAGTTCCAATATAATCTTTATGTTTCTCTTTGAACTGCTATTGGCAGCCTAGGTCCTTTCCTTTCACTATGAAATGCCATTGCATTGGTTCTGAACCATAGCAGCACTGTATAGAGTGTCGGAGAAGAGGCTGTTGGGTTTGACCCACTGACCTTTGTTAGCAGTCCAGTGTTTATCCTACAATGCTACACCAGGATTGCTTCCTTTCATGAAATAGTATTATGTGTCTTACAGTTGCTTTTCCTCACTGCTTCCCAGCTCCTAATGGAGCTTACAGTGCTTGATTGTGAGAAGGTGGACAAGTTTATGTTAATTTGGCTTCTCCATGAAATGATATTAAGGAGCTCTGGTAGCGTAGTGGTTACAAATTGGGCTGCTAACCTCAGGGTCAGCAGTTCAAAACCACCAGCTGTTCCGTGGGAGAAAGATGAGGCATTCTGCTCCCATAAAGATTTACAGCCTCGGAAACCCTGTACGGGGTTGCGATGAGTCGGAAATAACTCCATGGCACATAACAACAACAACAATAATGAAATGATATTTTAGGTGTAAACTGCCAATGTTAATTCTTTTATTACTTTTCCTCCCTCCCCCTCAGCAATTCTGAGAGATTGTTTAGATTCATAAGTACTTTCTTTTACTCTGAACGATTGCTTTTGCATTATAAAATCATAAAACTGTGATTATTAATGGAAGTCCATTGCACAAGACAGTGAGCTGTGCTAGTTACAAAGAATGGGGAGGAACTGAACTAAAACCTAGTATACTGTGCAATTCCTATTAAAAGTATCTTCACAGCAACCCTATGTAGTAAACATCAGCGTTTCCATTTTTAAGGCAGTTGATTCCCATATGGATCTTCGTTTGCTTACCAAAGGTCTCAAAGCTGGTAAATAGACTTAGAATTTGAACCAAGCTCTTTATCTCCAGAGCACTGTACACAACTCCACAATGTCACTCTAGCCTGTAATTACTGTTCATATTATAACGTCTTACTTTCTACCTAAGCCCCTCTTTGTACTTACAGAGTTGCATGCTGAGAATCTGAAGAATGAAGATGGTGTAAACACTGGGCTATTAGGTATGGATTTAATTGGCACTTAATTTGATATTAGGTTCACTTTTGTATTTTAAAGTCCTATTTAAATTGTACAGAATTTTAGATAAAATGCTTAGTGTACAATTGAGTCAATCTTTTGTTTTTCATTTGCATATATGTGGTGAGTTTTTATTACCCTTTTTATATACATTTGTATGTACACACACTAAAACTCAACCAAACCCAGTGCGATCAAAATCAAATCAATTCTGATTCATGGTTCTGAGGCTATAAATCTTTAGCAGAGCAGAAAGTCTCATTTTCCCCCTGAGGAGCAGCTGGTAAGTTTGTACTGCTGACCTTCCCTTTAGCAGTCTAGTGCTATATCCTATAGAGCCCACGCTTATAAGATATGGCATTGCATTTTGAGTACAACTAGTCCTAGTGTGGCATTGTAGGATAAGCACTAGACCACAAGGTCAGTGGTTCGAACCCACTCCTCGGAAACCTATGCAGGATTGATAAGAGTCAGAACCAACTCGACAGCACTAACAACAACATGTGTGACTGAGTTCTGGTGTGGCACTGGGGGAAAAAACACTGGCTTGCTAACCACAGGGCTGGCAGTTTAAACCCACCAGTTGCTCCTCTGAAAACATACAGACAGGGTCACTGTGTTGAAACTGACTCCATGGCACTTAATAATAGCAACAACATGTGTGACTAGAGTTCCTGAGTGGTACAATTAAGTGCTTGGCTACTAACTGAAAGATTGACCTTTCAAGCCCACCCAGACGTGTGTTTGGAAAACAGTCCTAGTGATATGAATGATTAACAGCCTTAAATTCTGTGGAGTGTAAAAGAGCAGAGATGTTACTTTGAAAACTAAGGTGCACCTGACACAATCTTTGGTATTGTTGATCACGACGTGTATGTGAAAGCTGGACATCGAATAAGGAAGACTGAAGACAAATTGATGCCTTTGAATTGTGGTGTTGCTGAAGAATATTGAATATACCATGGACTGCCAGAAGAATGAACACATCTGTATTAGAAAAAAAATATAGCCAGAATGATCGTTAGAAGGGAGGTTGGTGAAATTTCAACCATCTCGTGTAATTTGGAATCAGGAAGGACTAGTCCCTGGAGGCAGACATCATGCTTGGTAAAATCTGATAAAAGAATGGCCCTCAACCAGATGGATTGACTGTAACAATAGGTTCAAGCATGGAAATGATTGAGGATGGTGCAGGACAGCGTGGTGGTTTGTTCTCTTGTATGTAGGGTCACTACAATGAGTTGGAATCAACTGGACAGCAACTAACAACAGGCCACAATATTACAATGTTAATTTTTAAAATTTATCAATGATGCAACTGTTGGTTAGTTCGAAATAATGTAAAATAATTGAATATGCTCAATGTGGAGCAAGCACTTATATCATGGAATATTGGTCATTTCTGAAAAAGATAAGAATACTCTTTAAATTTGATAATCATCCCATTTAAGCACCTGAATAAAAATGTTACAAGCTTTAGGAAGCCTCATGTTTTGTTATTCAGTTACTTTTATGTTATTTTGTGCATCCTCACTTTTTTATACATCTACAAGTTTCTTTGTTCCACACCAGCTCCCTAAAGCAATGGATTTTTCTTCAGTTTATTACCATCTTTATTTTACAGACTCTGTTAAATTTACAGTAAACTTCTCAATTTTTCTTACCTCTTCAGAGCTGCCTATTCTGGTAGCGTAGTGGTTTTGAATCGGGCTGTGAACCTCAATGTCAGCAGTTCAAAATTACCAGCTCTTCCACCGGAGAAAGATGAGGCTTTTTGCTCCCGTAAAGATTTATGGCCTCAGAAACCCTGTACAGAGTTGCTATGAGTTGGACAAACTCCACGGCACATAACCATCAACTATCAGCAGCTATTTGGTAATATGACCCATTGCTGTTGAGTGGATTCTACTTCTAATGACCCTATAAGAACCATAGGGTTGCTTTATGGAAACAGATTATGGCATCTTTATCCTGTGAATCAACTGGTAGATGTGAATCAACTTTTGGTTAGCAGTTGAGACTATTTGATAATTTTTTGTTAAGTTTCCAATAGAGTTATCCATAAGTATGGCACTACAGGATAAGCACAGAACTGTTAACCACAAGGATAGCAGTTCATATCCACCAATCACTACTTGGAAAACCTATACAAGGTTGCTGTGAATCGGAACCAACTTGATGGCACTTAACAACAAATTCTATTATAAGCAGCCTATTTTGATCCCATATTTCACTGGATTGGCAAGAAAATTGTACCTCATTTTCTCTCTGTGTCTCTTTGGCAAACTCATGTTTGTGCAATAAAAAATATGTCTCATTCATCCTCCCTTTCAGCTTGTATCTATATATCTCTGCTCAGAACACTTGTTCCAGGGTTGTGTTTATATTGTGTACATCTATCCCCTTTAACCCATGCACACCTCCCTGTGTCTTCAATGGTCTTTATTACTCTTCTGCCACCCTCCCCTTCTTCTATGTTGTCCTCCCTGTCATCCAGACTAACATATATCTCTGCCTTCTAGCCAGTGAATTGCTCTCCCCTCCCTTCCACCATCAAAAAAGTGTTTTTGTCTGGTAATCTTTTTGTTTTGTTTTGTATTTTAAAATTTTGGTTGTAGTTTATTTTTTTCTTAACAAGTCTACTGTTTAATCTCGGGATTTAAAAAAAAAAAAAAGTCTAAAGAATTAAACGATAAAGGAATGTCAAGGTAAGGGCACAATGCCCCTTTCCCAATGTCAGGAGTATAATAATAGCTATTCCAGCTAATATCTAGCTTCAAACGAAATGAATTTTTATATTTTCTAATTGATACATATAGCCACCATCTTCATTTCATCTGAGCTTGTCATAACTCAAATCCACAAAGCTTCATTTTTAAGCTTGATGAAGACTGTAACAGGAATGATGGCTGACCTTAATATGTAGTGTGTACCTTAAAGGAATTTTAAAAACATAACACAGTAATAATGTCATTAATAGTGAAGTCCTCAATTTAGAGCCTGGAACAGTCTTCCATCAAGGGAGTGGTGGTGGTGGTGGCTGTGTGCCGTGTGGAGTCAGTTCTGACTCATAGCGACCCTGTTTCCAAGGCTGTAAATCTTTATGGGAGCAGAATGCCGATTTCGCCTGCGGAACAGCTGGTAGTTTCTAACTGCTGACCTTGCGTAACCACTATGCTACCAGACAGAGCTCCTATATCAAGGAAGTGGGGGCGGAGTGAGAATCAATCCAATGAGTTTATCTCAAGATCTTCATCTCTTGTTTTCTCCATTTGTATTCTCTTTTCAGTAACTGCATTAATCCTTTGAGCCCAAAATGAGATCTTTTTTATTACTGTAGATTACATGTTTAGTGCTCAATTTCCATTTGCTCCTCTTGCTTGTGTTTTCTCTCCGTTGCCTGCTTCTCATGCTGCCCTTTTAGCCACAGTCTGAAAGTTTCTCCCGTATTTTTTTTTCACCTTCCTGATCATCCCCTTCAATATCAGAGGTTGATGCAACCCCTGCTTTAGGTTAATTTTTCCTTTTTGATTCCGCTTCTTCCCTTTTTTTTTTTCCATGTCAGACTGTTTTCTTGGTTTATCTTTATCTTTTTCCTTTCGGCCTTCATCCTTTTTCAGTTGTTTTTTAGGTTGTTTTTCTTCCTGCCATATCTTTTTATTTTTCTCTTCAGTTACAATGTCACTCTCTGAAGGATAAGGCTGTTTTACCATTTTGGGTCTGCCTCTTGGTTTTGGAATCTTGACTTCTGTAGCTGCAGGGTGCATCCTCTTTTTGGACTCACTTTTAGATTAACATGTTATTGCTCTTGTCACTACTCCAGTATCCTCTGTTTCAATTTGTTTTTCTGCCTTTCTCTTTTCTCCCTCTTCTGGCATTTTGGAGTAGTTATATCAATTGCTTTAGTCACATCCTCATTACTGCCTTTTTCTTCCTGGTCAGTATCCTCCTTTGAAACACTAGTTTCAGCTTCAACATCAGATGATGCATTTGCTTTAGTTTAGGCCTGCTAACTAGAAAATTTAACTTTTGGATTGTTACCTATTTCCCATAAACTTTCATTAAAACCTTTTCATTTATTTGGCTTGCCGTATTTTTCCTTATTTTCAGAATAAGAAAATATATCCTTTGGTCCCAGAAAAATAGTCTCATTAATTCCTAAAAAGAAAGTGGGTAGTTTGTTTTGTGGGTGGCTTTACAGCTCCATCAGGAACTTCATCTACTCCAGCTGGCCAATGAGGATACCCTTTCATATTGGTGAAGATGATGTTTCCGGGCTTGAAATCTTGAGTCATGTTTGGGGGTTGACCCCAGGGTCCGGAGCCCAAGAATGAGCTGTGGTGGGCGGGCGTGGTGAGGCAGAGGCGGAGCCGGTGGGAGGAGTGGAAACCTTTTCTTAAAACTTTTACAATAATGGTCTTGTACAATACTTGTCCCTTTAAGATTGCATAATTCTACTCAGCATAATGTCCTCTAGTTTCATCCAAGTTATGAGGTGTTTCGCAAAATTTATCATTCTTCAACATTGCATGGTTTTCTATTGAGTAAGTTCAACCTACCCAGTCCCAGGAGGGAGCTCTGGTAGCGTAGTGGTTACGAATCAATCTATGAACCGCAGTTCGAAACTACCAGCTGTTCCACAGGAGAAAAATGAGGCTTTCTGCTCCTGTAAAGATTTACAGCCTCAGAAACCCTGCACAGGGTTGTTATGAGTCGGAACTGACTCCACGGTACATCACAACAACAACAACACCCAGTCCCAGGAGCCTTGGTGTGGCGCTGTAGGCCTATGCGACAGACTGCAAAGTCGTTTGAACTGCAAGGTTGATGGTTTAAGCTCACCAGCTGATCCTTGGGAACCCTATACAGGGTCACTGTGAGTCAGAATCGACTCCATGGCACTTAGCAACGACATCCCAGTCACATGTTGGGTTAAAGTTCTAGGAACTGACAATATGTCAAGATACAGAGACAGCAGCATAGT